AACTTCCACATTTAGTGTACATGTCAATAAGAGCAGTACTGACTGCAGTATTTGCACCAAAACCCTTTTTAACAATATATGAGTGAACAGATGAGCCCAATAGCAATGCTGAGATTTGATTACAAGCACCAAGCATAGAAATAATAGTTGCTTCGTCAGGAACTTCATCTTCCGTGATCATTTGACAGAAAAGTTCAAGGGTTTCAAAAGCATCTCCATGCCGTTCATAACCTGAAATCAAAGAATTCCATGATACAGTATCCTTCATTTTTAATTCTTCAAATAATTTCCTTGCATCAGATATTGAACCACAATTGCAGTACATGTCAATTAGGGAATTCGTTAGAAACTTGTTGCATGGCATCCCACTATTTCGAACAACACGACCATGAATAGCCTGTCCCACTTTTAAATTCATAAGATCACCACAAGCACAAAGGATAGCAAGCAAAGTTGTCTCATCTCCAAGAAATCCAGCATTTTTCATGTGATCAAACATTGAAAAAGCATCTCTTGCTTTTCCATTTTTCACATAACCCGATATCATAGTATTCCAAGATGTTAAATCCCTTACAGGCATATCATCAAACAGCATTCTCGCTGTCGCCATATACCCAAATTTGGAATACATTGAAAGCAGAGAATTGCCCACATAAATATCGGATGCCAACCCAGCAACCAACACCAAAGCGTGAACTTTTCTGCCAATTTCATTGAGCAATAGACCACCACACGCCTTGAGAACATATGGATAGGTAAAATTATCTGGCTTTCGTCCAGTACTGAACATTTCCCGATACATAAGAAGAGACCTCAAGGCATTCCCGTTACAAGAATAACCTCTAATCATGAAATTCCATAAAAAAGAACTCTTCAAGACAATTTGATCGAATATTACCTGAGCTTCAGCCATTCGACCGCAACAAGCGTAGCAGGCAGCGAGCTTGGTATTAAGATAGGTGTTGTGCACCAGAGTACCGCAAGTGATCATGTGGGCATGAAGTTGCAGGCACTTTGCGTAGGATTTGGTATTGGTGAGTGACTGCAACATGGTTCCGCATTGTAAAGAGGTGAGTGAGCGGAAAAGACCTTGTTCCGCCAAGTGAGTGACGGTGGCATATGAAGATTTGGGGAGAAGGATTTTATTGCCACACCGTTTGAGTATGAGAGTGAAGGTGCCATTCATGAAGGATAAGCACAGCGCCAGCGCAGTGACAGAAGATATTATTATTAATAGAGCAGAAGACGGTGGTGACCGGAGAATTCAGTTGTATATATTGAGCCCCCGGGTAAAGAAAAACGGAAGAGGGAAAAATTAATGAAGGGGTGGGGGGAACAAGATGTTTGGAGATGCGGGGTATCGATCCCCGTACCTCTCGCATGCTAAGCGAGCGCTCTACCATCTGAGCTACATCCCCATGGTGGTAAATCAGCATTACATTTGTACAAAAAGTCAGCAAGTGCTTTTGGCACAATTAAATTTCTAGCTCCACGTTGATGATGGTGGGAGTGGAAATGGTCGAAAATTTACATGCCCTTTATCAACTTTTTACCAGCCATATATTCCTTGGGAACGGGGGTGGAGATAAGTTTAGCAGGGGCGACAGGCTTCTTTTCCTTACTTTAAATTTTTTTTTAATAAATGCAAGGATTATATATTTTTCACCCATAAGTTAACACCCTCAAAGTATTAGATAAAATTATTATTTTAATTCTATAATTGTTTTATATATATATATACACATATATATAATTTAACTATTTCAATAGCTTGAAAATATAGTTATTTTAAGATTTACTTATTTTTAATAAGACGATGTTATAATTACTCTTAAAATATTAATATCATTTGATTTTGCTTTCATTTTATATTTAATGGAATAAATTATGAGGATTATTATAAATAAACTTTGTCAAGCATTACAAAAAAAAATTTAAAATATATTAAATGTTGTGTACTTGATATCTCACATAAAATCACTTATCTAAAAGTTAAAAATTATAATTAAGATATGTTCTTTTAAAAAAATTACCTTTTTATGTAATAACTGAGCTATTAAAATTTAATATGTGACATGAAGAACTTGTGACAACTGAGTATCATTACCGTTTTAATATATTTATTTACTATAATTATCAATTAAAAGAATTAAATAATAAATTTAGTAAGGAAGTAATTAAATTTTTTTAGACTAGATAAAACTTTAGATCTCAAGAATGGAGAATGCATTTAAATTATTTAATAATGCTTGTGGAGAATATGAAATCTTTACTAATTTAATGATAATTTATATTAAGAAGTAAAATGCTAAAAATTTTATTATAAATATGATAATTAATTATTTTTATGTCATGAAAAATTGATAAACAAAACTTAAAAAATGTATATATTTACTTTTATTATATATATATAATTGAATATGAATGCATACATTGAAATATTTATATTATATTAATGATATATATAAATTTATGTTTTTTTTAATTATTATGTATATTTTGTCATATCAACCTCGCTACTAAATTTTTTTTAACTCCATCCATTCAAGTGGTGATTGATGCTATCAACATCCGCTTCAGAGAACGTTTTAAATTACAGGGTAACAATGTTCAATCACCGTCAACGATTCATTCTCAGCGAGTGGGAATATTATGAAGACATGAAAATGCATACATGTTAAATATATAACACATATTTTTTGAATTCCTGCAATGAGCATTGCACGTCTTGACGAAACATTGGAATTTTGTACATGCAAATATAATACGGCACTCTTTTCTTTAACCTTAAAATACAGTTAAACTCTTGGCGTTTAATCCGAAAATTCTTTAGCTGCAGAATAATCCCCCGTGTAGCTCAAGGCCATCATTTTTTTACAAAAAATATCAATAAAGACCTCTTAATTATAATTAAATGAAATAAGAAAATGAATAATATTTCTTAAATGGTAATTTTGATATTAATTTAAACAACGGATAATTTTTTTTATTAAAAAGTTAATATTAAATTAAGACCCTTGAACTACAATAATGTTTTAAAAATTTTGAATATTTAATTTAAAATAAATCTAATCAAAAGATCTTTATTGATATTTTTTTTTTTATGTATTCTCTCGAATTCAACATCTACCTAGGTTGGGGGTGGGGACAAATTTTATTCACTACTAATCTTGAAAAAAATTAGAATGACTCGCACTGCAAGTCCTAAGAAGATAGAAAATTACACCATGAGCCTAATAAATTTTGATAATGCATTGCAAGTTCAAAAATTCTCGTTGCAATTTTTTTTGAGAGTAAAAATATAATTTTATCTTTGTGTGATTTGAAAATTCAAGACCTACACGAAATTCCCATCCACGAAGTACAACACAATATTCATGAATTTTTAATATAATATTCACATGTATTTAGTTAATCTGTAAGTTAATTAAAATATACAACTCATATAGAACATGCCCAATATAATATTCATGAGTGCACAACACAATATTTATGAATTTTCAACATAATATCTATGCGTATCCAATTGATCAGTAGATTTAATAAAATGTACAAGCTACACACACAATATTTATGAATGCACAGCACAATATACATATATTTTTAACTGAATGTCCATGTGTATCAAGTTGATCAGTAGGTTTAATAAAATGTACAAGTTAAATAGATAATGTATAACACAATGTCCATGGATGCACAATATGATATTTATAAATTCTCAATATAATATTCATGCGTGTTCAATTGATCTGTAAGTTAATTAAAAATAATCATACAGAGCATGTACAACATAATGTTTATAAGCGTACAACATGATATTCATGAATTCTCAACACAATGTTCACGTATATTCAATTGATTAGTGCATTTAATAAAATATATAAGTCATGCAGATAATGTACAACACAATATTTATGGATACACAGTATAATGTTCGTAAATTTTCAATTGAATGTCCATATGTATCAAGTTAGTTATTCTATCACTTTCAATTTCTCTCTTTTTTTTTATTAAAAGTAAAATTATACTTCTATATTTAAAAAAATTGCAACAAGAGTCATCAGGCTTGCAGTGCATTATCATAGTGTCTCAATCTTGTAGTGCAAGTTTTTTCTTTTTTTAGGGCCTGTATTGTGATTCTCCCAAAAGAAAATCATGCTGACTCTACCCGAACCGCCACATTGAATATTATTCTAATCTAGGCATTCAAAATAAGATACTGAAAATATAACATTTTAATGTGAATGAAGCTTTTCATATCTAATAAATTAAAATTTGGAATGATGAAAAGGTTAATATTGCTGCCGTTGTTACTGTTATTTGAGGAGCGCTTCACAGATGACTACGAGACCTCGTTCGCTGTTCGCAGAAGCTGTGGCAGGGTTTATTGAGATTAGTTAATGGTCACCGTCCTTTCGGTCAGCTAACAAGCATGCTTAAAATATGCATTTTATTCCTACTCCTCCATCAATCTTGAAAACTTTCTGTCACAAAAACTGCCATTTACAATATGGCACATATACTTATTGATAATTCTCCTGCTGCCTCTAAATACAATTATACAACTGCACGAGATGTGATCAATTTTTACATATATATAATCCTTTCAATTATGTCTTGCAGTCAATTGTATATGTGAGAGAGAGAGAGAGAAACTGAACAAATTAAATTTTTGCAATAAAATAATATAATAGTGCATGCAATTTATAATTAATCATATTGTTTTCAAACTAAAAAGGAATTAACATAATTAATTGAGAAAAGAAAGTTTACGCACCCCACAAAAAAACACTCATTGTTATTTTTCAATGTAAGATGGTTATAGGCCAAAAGGATTAAAATTTATAACAGTAAAGGCAAGGAAGTAAAACCAAAATAATATTGGGGAAGCATCGTAAAAACTAAAAAATCTTCAAATACGAAGGACTGGAACCCAAATAAATAATAAATTAATAACAATAACAACAATCAAGACATTATGGGTGTCCCACATTGTTCTCCTCACGCCTCACCGCGTCTCTGTTTTTCTCTCTCCTCGGGCGCACCAAAGGACAAGAAACTCTGGCATGAACAAATTCCCTCCGTTGCAGGAGAATATCTTGCACTCGAAACCGCAGGAAAAAAATTTGCTGGATCCATTTCGAACGTTTCAGCAAAGTTTCTGGCTGTGGTTCGAGTACTCGATATCCTCCATTTGCATTGATTCATTTCTGCGCTCAGGCGCATGTTCATTTCATTGCTTCCTTAATTCGCCGGACGCCTAGCTTGCATTATCAACATATACCAGAGAAGACGTTAATCCTCTGATCTGTCAAATTTGTAGATACATTCTGTTTCCTTGCGATTATTATTGCGTTTCAACCTGGTTCTGAGTTTCTAATTAAGGACCCAGAGGCGTTCCCCTGCAGGTTTCGTGAGGCTTTCAAAGGTTCGAACAAAATCCAGCAACAAGGTGTGTGTTTGAATCTGGCGTGACATTTAAGACCTGAAGGGTATTGGGCAGGGAGGAGGGGCGTTTTCATTTCTAGAGAGGTGGGAGAATTTTGAAATTCAATGGGATGAAAAGGAATGGACATGACCAGATCCAGTTATGCAGTTATTTATGTGATTCTTCTTTGTGCGTTGGCTAAAGGCGGCTCCGAAGGTAAGAGGTGGAATCTGCACGAGATTCTCAAAGAAGAATGTCGTCTGTCGTCGTCACTTCTTGAAGACAGAAACAAGGTACGCTTGCATGCATGTTTCAAAATCGATTCTTTTCTTGATTCATTTCCACACCGTTTCCTTGAAATTTCGATCTGAGCCTTTTTTTTCCCTCTTCGTGATTGTGATGAGAAATTCTTATTTCGATCTAAATAAATGGACGACATGTGTCTTTGAGATGAAAAATCGTTGTTCTTCTGCTAATAACACCATGCCCAGCATTGTGCATGGTTGTGAATGTAGTTCTGAACTTTTTGGTAGTGATAGATACAGCTTTCTTCGTCTTATTGGACATTATTTGTTATTCTTGTTATACTTATATGATGCATGCCTGCGTACACATATGGAATTTGTACGATCTATGGAGAATGATCTGTTTGAAATTTGGAGTACTGCTAGCCTGCTATTATTTTGCGGGGCATGTACAAGGTTGTAATTTTGATACATCCATGTGCTGTATTATTGGAGGCCTGAGGTTAGGTATCAGTATTTAGGCTACTTATTTGTTAACAAACTGATAAATGAAGTGGTCCAAAGGCTGATCCAGTTTATAATCATTCCATTTATTTCCAAAGTTTAACTTTCACTGTTAATATGAATATATTATTTACATAGGTATACTTCTCCCTTAAAAAAAAAGCTTTTTTGTATAGTTTGGATATTAAAAAGTGTAAAGTATTTTTAGTATTTTAAGATATGATTAATATGTTTTTATCAAAAGTGCCTCTAATAAATAAGTTATTTTGTATTCATTCAAAATGTACTATTATATTTCTGACTGGAAAGAATATAATTTATAACTATCTTTGTTTTCTTTTCTTTTTTGTTAGCAAGTTATAACTATGTCTATAAATGATATATATTTGGTTTGAGTGAAATAGTGACATTAGCATGACCCCTCAGTCTCATATTTATGTATAATATAAAAATTAATGAATCACATTTTTTTTTTGAGTTAAACACAGCATGATTCACTATATATATTTCTTATAATCTATATGATGCATATGAGGCTTATATTAGATTTAAACAAAAATCTATACTCGTGAGTTAAAATATTCTGTGGATGCAATAAACTCTTCATAATAAGTTACTAATTCAAATTTTCACTATTAATAATTATTTACTTTTCACAAGAAATATTTATAAAAATTTGGAAGCATTTAATTAAAGCTTAATACACAGTATAAATTTATAAAAAGTAACCTTCTAACTCATCCATTTAAGAACAACAGAGGGAATGTATTATACAATAACTTTTTTAATGTTATAATTTTTATTCCAAAATAGTAAAACAATGTTACTTCCATGACATATAATTTTTTTTTTCTAAAAAGGACGTATTTGAAATTTCAAGAAGTAAATAAACATTGATTAACATGCACACCATCAATCATTTCTGTCTGACTATTCAGTTGTGGGCTTGAGGCACGAATTCGTCAAAATAGATGTCGTTTAAGATGACACCCCCACCCCCCGCCCCAAAATATGTGACAGGGCATGTAATAAATTGATGGTACCAAGTATCTCCCTCCTTTTTTGGACAGGCAGATATCTCTTAACGTTTTTAAGTAGAAATTAAAGAGACTAGACTAGAAAGCAATTTCAATAAAAAAGAGTGGAGAATACTGCGTCCATTTCCTGACGGTATAGGTGTGCATGCTATGTAAAGTATAAACTCCAGGGTAGGTTCGTACTTGTGATTGCCATGTGTGATATACCGCGAAATTCCTAGCAGTGGCAGAAAACAATCAATAAAAAAAAAAAAAAAACTAACAGGGGTATTGTGTGGGTGGCTTTATACAGTTGGAGCAAGCTTGGAAACATTGTAGGAAAGAATTGGCAGAGAGGCACCACGGGAATCAAGATTCTGATGACTCGCGTCCAGCCGCGGAAGCAGAACTTGAAAATATTCTACACAAAGCAACAGAGTTTCTGCCTCCCCAGTCCCAACAAAACTTTCTGGATTGCATCAGAACCAAAACTTCCAATATTGCGCCCGTCTCTCTAGACAATGCTGCCTCTCCGCCTTTGTTTACCAAGTACTGGAATAGTGGCTGTGAAAGGCATTTGCTTGCCCATTCACCAGACGACCAAATCCCGCCAAGCACTACCCCTCCTCATTCTTCTTCTCCATCTTCATCCCCATCTCCGTCCCCATCCCCGTCCCCGTCCCCGGCTCCTGGACTCGCAGGGGAATCACCGAATCATGATACAAACCCTCCTGATTCTTCATCTGATGATTCCCCTTCGGGTTCTCTTTCACCGTTGCCGCCGCCACCTCCGAAATTTCCTAAACTTCCCCCACCCAAACCTTTAGCCTCTCCTCCTCCTCCTCCTCCTAAACGTGACGACAACAATCAGCCGCTAAAAATAATTTTCATTGCTGCAATAACAGTTTGTGTAATCGCAGCATTATTCTTAATCTGCCTCTGCTGGGGCGCCAGCAGCAACAATAACGTCGGCCCAAAAGAGGCACTAAAAGGCGACCGGCCTATAGTCACATTAGCCTCATCTGATGTTTTCGCGGGTAACTTTATGTTTGGTTTTCAACGTTATCCCATTGAATCCCTTTTACATGGATCTTCTAATCTTTTTATCATTATTTTTTCATTTCTTGTTTCAGGTTCACAGAAGTTTGCTGTTCTGGAAAAGTCTGACAAGAAAGAATCCACTACCAACGACAATGTGATCGCAAACTCTGGAGGTTGCTCAGTGACTGAGACAGCATCGTCTACGAGACAAATGGTGGCAGAGCCTCCTCTAAAACCTCCTCCGGGAAAACCATCAGCTCCTCCACCCCCTCAGCCGCCGCCAGCTGCTCCTCGTGCCCCGCCACCTCCACCTCCAAAAGCTAAGGTTCCACCTGTTCCTCGGAAACCAATTCAAGGCAAAAAAAGTGTTGAACAGGGCAACTCTAGCGAGGGAGGTGCATTAGGTGCTCCGAAACCCAAATTGAAGCCATTTTTTTGGGATAAAGTTAATAAAGCTGATCAAGGAATGGTCTGGCAACAGATCAATCAAGGGTCATTCCAGTAAGGCCACTTAGTCCCGACAAATTAACTTTTCATTATGTATGAATAACTGAAGTAATATGCCAATATATTTAGCTTACTGATGATCCTCGTAACAATTTTCAGGTTCAATGAGGAAATGATGGAGTCTTTATTTGGTTGCGGCCACCAGAAAAAAAATGAACGCAAGAAAGATGCATCCCTTGAACCTGCAATTCAATACGTTCAGATTATTGACCCTAGAAAAGCACAGAATCTATCAATTCTCTTGCGAGCGTTGAATGTGACAACCGAAGAGGTCATTGATGCCCTCAAAGAAGGTGACTTTCTTCAATCTTAAAATTTGCATGAAGAAAATAATTTCCAATTAAAAATAGTTGAGCTCCAATTAAGTGATTTATTCTTTATAAGTATACAATCATAAGCTTCTGTTGGAATTTTCACCAGTTTCATTTTTGAACCAGCCTCAAATTTCCCCAAAATTAATGAGAATTTAAAAGCTAAATGAACAATCAGGTCAACGAATAGTAAAATAACTATGAAATCCTCATTTATGATTTGCATAGCATGCTACCGGGGAGAAAAAAAAAAGGAGAAGAGAGCTCCATAAACTTTGAAACTTCTGAAATTAAAATGTTGAAAAAGATTAAATTTAAAAAAAAAATTCAAGAGAAGGTTATTCAGCGCAATCTCCTCCTCTCCCGCAAGCTCCTTGACATCTTTTAGGTCGCCGCCAGTTATGAAATCGCCAGTATTCTCTGCACCGATTTCTTCTTCAAAAACTCTATCATCGCCTTCCATAGCTGTTCCACCCCTTCCCTCATACTCCCTCTCTCTGCCTCCGATGACTTCTCCAGTAAGCTTGGGCTGCAGCTGCTGCTTCCGCTGTGATTCAACTCTGTCCCAGAGACAGGGATTTCCAGTATTCCTCTTGGTGATGCCTCGTCATCGCTGGAATCTTCTGTGCTCGTGTGCTTGTCTAATGATTCCATTTCTGGGATTCAATTACCTTTTCCTTTATATGTATATAGATAATCAAACTCACATTTCAATACACCCACACACTACCTCGTTCCATAGTTGCAGGGGAAACCTAAGATACAAAGAGAGACCTGCAAAAGTTAAAAACTTTAAATCTTATTAGCTTGTGCGATACAGAGCCGAGAAGGGTTAACGAAATTTGTTGATTTCCCCTTCAATTTCCAACTCATCCATATATTATTCTTCATTTTTGCTCTCCTGAATCATTTGGTAGCTTTTTCCTGGTAAAAAAATATCGTTTAATAACCTTCCAACACCGATTGCTCCTCGCCAGCTTGGGAATTTTGACGATGCAAACCTTCCATTAATCGCGAAATTTGGACGTAATTAATTGAAGAAGCTTTTTAAAAAAAAATTAAAAGAGGGTTAATTTTATTTTTTCTTTTAACATTTTAATTTCATTCAATTTCAAGTTTCAGAGCTTTATGTGGCTCTCTTTTTAATTGAGAGTGATCAAAAGGATCCATATTGCAATTTCCCCGAGAAAATATGATCTGCCACTGCTAACATCTAACCGAATTGATATTATTCACGTAACCAACATTAAATTGCAAATTCAAAACACATACATTTGAGTAGGCTATGTTAAATCAGGCAACTCAGGCCAATAATTTTAAACACTACAAATGACCAAATGGCCACTCTGCAGTGATTTGTCATTTTATACCAAGTGAGGACTTAATTTGGAGTGGTTCTCTTTAATACCTCCTCATATCATACTTTTTATTAATATTGGGTCTTCACTTAACACTCTTATATTTCAAAGCATGAATCACTTTCAATATGTGGATTTAAATTTGAATCAGGAAGCGAGATTCCGGTTGAGATCATCCACTCATTACTAAGGATGACACTAACAACAGATGAGGAATTAAAGCTTAGATTATTCACTGGTGATCTTAATCAACTTGGCCCTGCTGAGAGATTTCTCAAGGTTATGGTTGACATTCCATTTGCCTTCAAACGTCTTGAATCTTTGATGTTCATGATTACCTTTACAGAAGATGTCGCGAATCTCAAGGAGTCCTTCGCAACACTAGAGGTATAAGTGAGATTTATACATTCACAAGGAATCCAATCTATTTATATATTGAGTAGTTATCTCAAAAAAGAACTTAGAATAGTGAGTAATATAAGCTTATTATTTGCTGAATCTGAATGGCAGGTTGCTTGCAACAACCTTAGAAAAAGCAGGTTATTCTTGAAACTATTAGAAGCAGTTCTGAAAACCGGCAACCGGATGAATGATGGTACCTATCGTGGTGGTGCTCAGGCATTTAAGCTAGACACACTATTAAAACTGTCCGATGTAAAAGGAACTGATGGCAAAACAACTCTATTACACTTTGTGGTTCAGGAGATTATACGATCTGAGGGTATAAGAGCCGTACGAACACAGAAAGCTAACCAAACTAGCGGGTCTAGTGTGAAAACTGAGGATTTCCTTGATGACACTGATGAAGAATCGACAGTAGAGCATTATCGTGGACTTGGCCTTCGAGTGGTTTCAAGTTTAGGTGAGGAGCTAGAAGATGTCAAAAAGGCAGCAGTTGTAGATGGTGAAGGTCTAACAGCCACAACTTCAAAACTTGGCCAGTCATTATTGAAGTCCAAAGAATTCCTCAGCAATGAGTTGAAGAATCTTGATGAAGATTCGGAATTCCATCGTTCTCTGCAAAGTTTTGTGGATAAAGCAGAGGCAGATATCACATGGCTGTTGGACGAAGAGAAGAGGATAATGGCTTTGGTAAAGAGCACAGCCGATTATTTCCACGGTACTGCAGGAAGGGACGAAGGGTTGCGCTTGTTTGTGGTGGTACGTGATTTCTTGATAATGTTGGATAAGGCATGTAAAGAGGTTCAAGATACAACCACGAAATCAGCAAAGGCTTCAAAGAGAGAGAGTCCAACGACTGTGTCATCTATTGTAGGGACTCAGCAACTACAGGATATTCATCAGAGACTATTTCCAACAATTGCAGAGCGGCGCATGGGTTTCTCTGATTCTGATGATGAGAGCTTGTCACCATAGTCATTTTGACTCTGAGACTCTCCTTTGCTCTTCTGCTTCGGCAAAGTCGAGGGAAATAATGTGGCTTAGTGAACAAGTTCAGTGCTTAAAAACTATCGAAGGGACATGTGTTATAAGGTAACATGTAATATGGGCGAGCTATGTAATGCCTAGTCTATTATGTTTATATGCCAGCTCCTCATCAAGCTGTGAATTGTATGGGATTTCTCTTTACAACTTGCCTCCTAACACATTGAGGAATAGAGCTATGTTTTTCTTTTGGTTGATTGATTTGCACAGGATTGGAACCTTGAACTGAAGTTGAGTATAAATGTGTGTCTACTTGAGCTATACTCATACTTTGCTTGGTGTGATGAAAGCTTCTTCAATATCCCCATTTGACTGCTAATCATATTGTACTGAGCAACATTCATCTTGCAACATTATGCACAAGGATTTGTTATAAGGATTCGTGAAGATTGTGTAATTTTTTTCACATTCGGGAAATAGTAATAATATATAGTTACATATTGATGATAGCAGTGCGTCACATGTCGCAAATTATATTACTTTGAAGTTGTGTTGAGTCCAAAAAGCTTTTTTCATGATGACACAAGGAGAACTTTACTGCTTGTATGAATACCAGTGTCTTTCAAATTTTGCAATGCTATGTAATGAAATCAAGCAGAAGAAACCATTATATAAAGAATAAAAATGAGATGATACATGAAAAATGTGATTTTGTCACTTTAAGCTGGTAACAAAAGTTAAATAAGAAATATTAAAAAATAGTAGAATTAAGAGAACTGGGAGAATAAAATAGTGACAGTAAGACGCACGATTACATTAATAAATCGCCATATCATATTTAGCCTTTTAGCCAAGAAAATCTCAAAGGATCAGTTTGGGCTCAATTCCTGAAATATTCCTTAATGAAAAGAACTAGAATCCATTGTCTAACCCTTGAGATCAACTAATAAGGAATTGTTCCCACTTGATTATTGGTCTTGAGTTTGATTCTAAAAAGATAACAGCATTAAGATTCTATAGTAGAACCCTCCACCAGAAAAGGTTTGTCAATGTTCAATTCAATCCAAGTTAATCTAGCCTTCATTGTGTTCCGTCAACTTGAGGCGTAACATGTGATACAAGGTTTGCAAACTACTTCCATGTATTTTGCCTTTTTGATCACCCCATATACTCCTAATTCAAAATGATTAGGTAAGTCCTTTACTAGTTAAAAAAGAAAAGAGGAAGTGAGGAAAAAGGATAGTAGAAGGAAATTAAGTATTTAAAGAATAACGAATTTTTAAGATTATAAATAAAGGTATTAAAAAGGAAATAAATGGATGAAAAATACCCTCATATAATTAATACATAACTCAGTTACAAAATTGCAAAAGATGAATTGTGTAATTGCAAAACTCAATTACAAATTTTAAAAAATTAATTACAATAAGTTATGATTTTTTTTTTAGCCAGCACAAATAAGTTATACATTATGACAACTTTGTAAACTTTGGAAGTTTAGTTACAAATATTGAAAATTCACCTGTAGATAAGAAAAAGGTTAATTGCACGTCACTTCGTAGAATGTGGAAGTTCCATGAATCTAAATATTTAATTGTAGGAACCAAAAACGCCTAATTATAAAAGTCTGTTGATCAATTGGTTAAAATCTGCAGTGTTTAGA